GATCACAAATGCAGACATGGTTTTATGTTTACGCAGCGCAATACGCAACGCAACGCGTAAAAAGACAGTATAAGTCATTATAATCAGTAATTATGTCCCCCCTGGATGCAGCAAATGCCTCGTTTATAATGGGTTTTACTGGTTTTGTCTCGGGGCGCATCACCGGCGCACAGGCACTCGTCGCACACACGGCATCACAATATGGTAAGGGGAGTAACATTTCCGTCACACGCTTGAGGTATTCGGCCAATCACAACGCACTGGATAGCTGGCCAATCAGAGCACACCTCGCTTTTCAGAACGATGAGCTTTGTAAAAATCGACGCGTTTCAGAAAGGCAGGGCATAGAGGAGAAACAATAATGTACAGTATGTGGAAAATAATGTGTTTTTTTAACTTTAAACCGCATAAACACATTGCATTACACCAAATACACAAAATGATGTTCTTTTAGCAACGTCATATGACCCCTTTAACAAAAAAAAACAACAAAAAAAGTTTTGATGCCAAGGACCCCCAAATATGATGATCCCTTTGCAACAGACCCCTTTCCTAAAAGTATAAATAGAGCTAAATTTCATGTATATAGATTTATTTATGCTGTTTAGTATTTATTTGTACAAAAGCCAAAGACATTAAGTTAACAGCATATATTTTTGCGTATTTTTATGTATTTCTTATTACTATGAAAATAATGTATAAACATGAACAAACTTTTTTAATTCAGATTTTAATTATTATTCAAATTAATAATGTTCTAGGGAGAGTGTTAAAATGTTACACATATTTACGAAATATTTTACATAAACACTTGACAGCCCTAAAAATACACTTTTATTTTTTCATTTTCTTTATTTCAGATGTTTAAAACGAATTGGAATACATGAAAATAGAAACAAATGTTGGTATACATATAGAAATATTAAATGAATATGGATAACATAGCTGAGAAAATGTGAATTTGATGCGAAATATCTACAGTAAGTTCATATTAGGATGGCTGGCTTTTGATCGCAGCGTTTGGTATCTTAACAGATCTGAGCACAGTTTGAGACCACTGAGATCTTATCTGAAACTAGAAACACATATGAGATGACCCGGGTCTTTTTCTCAAAAGAAACAATTCTGAGAAGCAGGAGACTATTGAGATACATAGTATGTTGTATGTTTGGGATATTTTTTTCCTATGGAGTACTTTTAAAAAAAAAAAGACGGGGCATGTTACATGTGCCACTCAGTGATGTGACTTTTATTGTTTACTGTTACAGACACATTTACAGTGTGAACTTGAGTCCCTAGTTGTCAGTTAATTAGTAATGAACATTGTGTAGCAGAAATACCAGACTGATGACCTTGAAAAATGCTTGTCTTACTTCCAAACACTGGAAGAAACACTATGCCTTTGTTTGTCTTCATTATATATATTTTTTCTCTTGTATCCTCTTTGTTTCTGTTGTTGGCAACTGTAATTACGTTTTTCAAATAGCAGCTAGCGTCTGAAAGTGATTTTATCATGCTTACATAACAGAAAACCATGTTCATTTCCTATTCGGCTCTGTTTTTGTTTTAGCATTGTGTAGTGGACACGTACTTGAACTCAAAACTCAGACGGTTCAGGAGACAGCCTTCCCCTTCCTTCTATTGGTTATGCAATGCTTGTAACAATCGCTATTGTGTTCTGTGAAGGAAAGTTACCAGCAAGAATGTATAAAAGAATTGACTTCCAGTTTCCATGCACATGATTTTGGGATAAAAGTACAAGGCACCGGACATTTGTATTATTATCTCATATGCAACAATAAACATCCATTATTTCAGAGTTATGATTATTGTAAGCATTAAAGTGTAACTCTAGGAGCTCGATTGAGCTTGACCAAGAAAAAAATCCAGTCCCCATGCTTTGAAACTGGGCAAATGTTTCAGTGATCCAGTGGAAAACCCTTGTGATACGTCTGTACTCATATGTGTGTTTGACAGCCAGTCTCAATGAATATCCCCACTTTTTTCCAGACCACAGTCATCGAGTATGTCAAACCTTCTGATCTCAAGAAGGACATGAATGAGACTTTCAAGGAGAAGTTTCCTCACATTCGTCTAACACTGAGCAAGATCAGAAGGTAAGAATGTTGCTATCCAGTTCTTCTTATGTTGATAAAGCAGTCTACATGCTAAACATTTAATGCCAAGTATTTAAATTTGGCAGTGATGTACAAAAAACCCTTGCATCACAACATCAAGTATTTTCATGGCTAAATAACACTGGCATTTTTAAAATCTAGTTAATACTGTGTGACATGCAATATCGTTTAGAGATGGATGTCATAAAGAGACATTTATTGAGAAATGTGTTTTTTAAGCAAAAAAAAATTTTGGATTCTGTTTTATGTTTTTTATCGTACAATATTGTATTTGGAAATTCAAACAATTAATGTTGTTTTATTGCTTTTTAATGTGGTGTGAAGTAAGTTAATAATACAATATTTATAGTCTTAATGTTTGAATAAATCTGTCAAATAAATTAAATACATTTTCTCAATAAATAAATAAATCATATCTCAGCAATGTTTTGGAGTAGAATAAAACATAACACTCAAAATGTAGTTCTGGTTAAAAATAATTCAAAAGGATCTTTCAGATTACATAAATGTTACATCATTTCTACATATCCTACAATATCTGAAACAACCAAATGTTGTTTTCTGACATCACATTGCCAATCCTTGGAAAGCAGTGAAGAATTGAAATAATTCAGTTATTCAATCAGGATTTAATCCTTAACACAGGTCTTAATACTTTGCAGAGTTAAGATTGGGTGTAATTTGGAATCAAACCCAACCAATGGCCAAATTTTTCACATGCAGCAAGTGTGAATACCAAAAATGTTTGCCAGCTAAACAAAGCAGATTGTGGTTTTATAAACCAGCTCTTGATTTCTTATGAGCTGCTAAGAAGAAAAGGTAGAATGAACAGGATGATATCAAGGGTTTCATCTAATTGTTTTTGATGTATTTACTGTACAAGTGTGTACAAGGACTTGTGACAAGCCTTTTATAAATATTTACAATATTCCATAACATCTGAGTAACCCGCGTACTGATGGTCGTGGCCTATTGTATTGTTCTAGCCTGAAGAGAGAGATCCGTAAACTAGCTCACGAGGAGTGTGGCTACGAGGAGTCCACGGTGGCCATGGCCTTCGTTTACTTTGAGAAGCTGGTGCTCCAGGGTAAACTCAACAAACAGAACCGCAAACTCTGCACGGGGGCCTGCGTCCTCCTCGCAGCCAAGATCGGAGGAGACTTAAAGAAACACGAGGTCAAGCTTCTGATTGATGTGAGTTTATCTTTGCACACTGACTCTTTTAGCTCCTTACCTGAAGGTCCCAAATTGAGGGCTTGCGACCACAGCTACTAAACAGATGTTATTCACTCAACAGTCCTTAAGATTGATGCTTTGTCTCTGAATAACAAACGTGGCTATAGTGGCACATCTGACAAAAGGAGCATTCTTTAAATCTCATTACTCTGTATTTTTGAATGTTTCTGTGTTGTGTAACGATGGTCTTTTAATTGCTGTTATATAATGAGAACTCTTGATCTCTTTCGCTTTAGAAACTGGAGGAGAGGTTTAGGGTGAACCGTCGAGAGCTGATAGCCTTTGAGTTCCCCGTTCTCGTGGCTCTAGAGTTCAACCTGCATCTTCCAGAGCATGAAGTCATGCCCCATTATAGACGCCTTCTGCAAAACTCCTAGCGACAGCCCCATCAGGGGAGAGTCCTCCTTCTCTCCTGATCTTCTCATCCCAGAAACCCCCTATGCACATCGCCAACGTCCACTATCATCTCCAGATGTTGGAATAAAGACACTTTTCCACTGTTCTCTTTTCAGCCAAAGTGACAACTCTATATTGAAAGTTTGTTTCCGCTCCAAGAAGCTACTTTCTAAAGGGAATACCTTTTCCTGGACTGTTGATTTCTCAGTTTACTGAGGACATTTTAAAGTGTTCATTTGTTTCCCACTTACAGGGTTGTAAGTGTAAAAGTGTCAAGTGTTAAAAGGACTAGCAAAAATTCTGTCATCATTTGCTCACCCCCATCATTCTCAATTTGTATGCTGTTATTTTTTTCCGTGAAACACAAAAAGAAAACTTTTGAAGAATCTTCCTGTTGTTCTTTTCCATACATTGACAGTTTTTAGTGACAATGGCAGTCAAGCTCCAAAAACACACCATAAAATACTTCTGAAGCCATACAACAACTTTTTGTGAAGAGAATCATTTCTATAATTTCTCAAGGATGGTTCACCCAACAATTAAAATCATTCCAAACGTGTATAACTTTCTAAGTTTTTGTCTATACAGTGAAAGTCCACTGGGTCCAAGAAATATGGATAAGACATTTTTTCAAAAATATCAACTTGTGTTCCAAAGAGGAAGGAAAGTCATCCAGGTTTGGAACGAGTAGATGATGACAGAATTTTCATTTGTGTAAAATATCCCTTTAAAAATTATTAACTGAAAATTCACCAAAACACTGAAATTTCCATTGTGTTGCATGAAAAAAGAACAGCATATCGGTTGGGCCATTGAGTAAAACGAGTCGAGGTTGAGCCAATCATGACGGAACTTTTATAGTTTGACTTTTCACAAAACTGGCCATTTCTATCAAGTTTAGAATGTTTGATTTTACATTCTTTCTAGAGGTTACAGTATTCCTGTATTTTTCCATTCTTCTTCATATTTCCTTAATCCCAAACAGGGCCATCCTTAGCTGATGCGGGGCCCGGTGCGTGGTAGGGAGCGGGGCCCCCCTCGGTCTGTTCGCCGCGGGGCCCGGTGCGACCACACCAGTTGCACCCCCCTAAGGACGGCCCTGGTCCCAAAGTTTGACACTCTGCCAAATCTGACTAATTTCACTGCACTCGATCACTCTCGGTTGAAAGCCTTAAGAAAATAGTCGAATGATCCTGAACTCTGGCAAGTATGTGACTGTTCCTTATGTACGACAAGTGCACTTTTCAAGTCTTGTGAATGGCAGACCTTTATGGCATCTGCAGAAGCTGTAGGTGGAGGGGTTTTCATCTCATTTCAATTCATTTCAGCCAGCAGTCCCTCTGTTAGTGTAACCACCAAGCAAAAATATGTTGCGGACAGTAACAGCGGCATCTGTGGTGGGACTTTTATACAGTTCTTAAGGGGTACATTTACGTACCCCTGTCGTTGTTTTTTACCCTTGTGTGTTGACTTTGACAGTTTCGTGTGGTGTGGCTTGCTGCACTCATGGTTACTGTAGTCGTGCTCTATGTTAGAGTGGATTCTGAGCACATTTGTAGTGCTACACTGTATGAAGCAACATCAGGTCATAACGCTATTTTGCCTAACTAGGCTCAACAGTGGCGGGAATAAAATGTGTATGACTAATATGCTACGGTGTTGACTAATGCATGTACACCAAAGCAGTGTTAAACTTGCGTTTGACTTGTAAACGTTTCTTTTTGAGAATATGTTTTGATTTGATGATTGTTTTAAATCCGTTTCCTCTGAACCAGATATTTTCTATCACCATCGGTGGTACAGAATTGTGTGTAAGTTGAATTTTATCTCACAGCGCACAGACTGTGTTACTACGTTCATAATCCCATTTTTAAATATGTAAAGTGTATAACGTTCACTATGCACTACTCAGTTCCATAAATCGGTTATAAACAACAGTTAGAGATTGATGCAAAATCAAATCAGTTGAGAAGTATCTAATAGCAGGAGTTAAACTTACTTTTAGAAGAGTAATGGCAAACTTGCATTTAACCATTTAACTCTAAAATAAATAATGCCTAGAATGTGAAGAGTTATAAAAGAACAAGATTTGGCCTTGTGAAATGCACTTTAGGATTTGTTAGCAAGTGACTGGGATGCCCAAAACAGATGAAGCATTTGTACAATGCAGATACATTTGTGTAAATATGCTGCTTTGCTTTTTCAATAAAAAGCTACATTTTGAATATGTGTCATCATCGGATATTTGATTTGATGTAAGTTCTCAATGATGCATCAATATAATTAATATATTGATATAACCTTCTTACTTGCTCAGTTAGACCTTTGTCATTTTAAATATTTTGCCTAATTTAGAGAAATTTCAGAGTACACGTCTGTAGCCTTTGATCCTTTAACAGTCACTACAACAGTTTTTTTTTTCTTGGTAGTTCTAACATTTCATTTAAAAGGTTTTTGACCTCAACAAATAGATAGGGGTGAGTGAGAGTTTTTTTTATTATTATAATTCGTTTTTTCTTTCTTGTTCTTTTTTGGTTTGTAACATTGTGAATGCTTTTTGGCTTCTGCACTTTGTTTAATTTAATTCTTTGGCTGTAATCACTAGGTAATTCAAAGAAATTATCTAATTTATTATTAGAAGCTGGCTTAATTAAAAAGAGAAAAAATAATGTGCGATATATAGATAACAGGCCTTAAACCATGAAAACCCATGATGGGTTCATTTCCGTTAAACAGGAAATGCTGTGTAACTCCATTCTTCATTTGTGACCAAATGTTGAAACAAACTTTAGAGAAGTTTCCCCAACACCCATCTTGGTGATTTTAACATTCATATAGACACTCTGCGCTTACATCATCTCCTTCAGCTGCTCTCTCTCTCCCCTACAAGTGTTATAGAGAACACTTCTATTTACAATGGACTGTAGCGCATTATCTTACTGGTTATCTTGATACAGTATGTCAATACCACAGTATGTCAAACAATCACTACCACAATTTCTTAAACACCAGCTCCTCTAGCTCCTACTTACTAGGGACCACAAATAACTCTTTGCTTTATTAGTCTGCAGTTTACCTGGTAAATATATTTTAATGACATTTAAGTTATTTGTTTGACAGTTGCTTTTATCCAAACGGCTCACAACAGACATTTTAGCCAACTTGACTTACTGAAGCTAATTTTGATTTGTCAAACCTTAATTTTGATCCCTGCTTCTGACGTCACGAGAATGGTCTACTGTTTCGCCTCAGTTTTTTACTCCAATATCTGCAGATAACAACATCCACCCTGAACTCCACTTTCTCAATACGACTTAATGCTTAGTAGAAGAAACCTGTTGGGTTCTGCTAATTCATGCTCCACAACGTAGAAGATTCAGTCAACTGGCCTCTTGTACAAGCGCTATTCCTTCTTCATGTGTATCTGCCACATTCCCTCAATGCCTCAAAACAACCCGTGTTTGACCACTGCAAACTCTTATGTTATACCTCAACTGCACTGACTGCCAGAATCAACTTCAAGACAATTCCAATGGCATTAACTCTGGTGCTTTCAATCCTTCATCAAACAGTAGCCTACACCCAAGCCGATAAATACATTTGAATCAACTCGCCACCCTCTCCCATCTGTCCACATGACATCCATTTCATCTATGAACTCCCAGACACTAACAGAACATAGATGACTCACCAGTAATATATTTCACACTCAAACTAAAATCAAAAACACTCTACACAAGTATGCGACAGCAGACATTAAGGCTTGGCCAGTGCATTGCAAGTGTGTGGTCTTGTTACATATGTTGTTGTGTTAGTGTTGCAGTAACAAACCCCAGTATTCAAATGGAAAGATAAAGTTTCCTTCAAAAGTCTGAGCTGTAGTGTCAAGTAACTAAATACCTGTTGAAAACTTAACTTGCTCAGCAATATTCTCAAGTAGAAGATGCATGCACAGAAGTGGACTCTTCAAGTTTACTCGGCTAGATTAATTGGTCTGCATGGACATCAACAGACTATGCTGATGCCAAAAATGATGTCAGACACATTGTCCGTGAGATGGCGCAAAAGTATACTTCGGGCTTATACTTATATTAACATGCAGAGTTCTAAATGAGCAACAGCATGTTTTGCGAAGTAGAGCTACAGTCATCTGTCTAGGTCAAGGGTTTCCAATCTTGCTTGGAGGGATAGAGTTTAAGTCCTACAGAGTTTAGCTCTAACCTGCCACAACACACTTACCTGGAAGTTTCTAGTACGTTAACATTACATTTACATTTATTCATTTGGCAGATGCTTTTATCCAAAGTGACTTACAATTGAGGATTTACAAGCGATTTACCATAAGATGGCAATAAACACAAGAAGTGCCCGTTATACAAGGTTTCAGTCATCGTTCAAAATAGTTAATAGCTAGGGATAAGGATAGTAAGAGAACAGAAAAAGCGAAGGCATAGAATTTGGAGTTAGGTAGGTAATTCCACCAACAGGGGAAGGTGAAAGATAATGTCCTGGAGAGTGATTTTGTGCCTCTCTGCAATGGGACAAGCTGCCGATCGTTTACCGACCGCAGGCTTCTGGAGGGGATGTAGATGTTTAGGAGAAAGCGGAGGTAGGAGGGTGCGGAGCCCGTGGCTGTTCTGTAGTCAAGCACCAATGATGAACTTGATGCGAGCCGCAACTGGTAGCCAGTGCAGAGAGATGAGAAGCGGTGTGACATGGGCTCTCTTGGGCTAATTGAAAACAAGACGTGCTGCTGCATTTTGAATCATTTGCAGAGTAATCCTAAAGACCTTGATTAGCTGGTTCAAGTGTATTTAATTAAGACTGGAGCTAAACTCTGCAGAACAGTGGCCCTTCAAGAGCAGGATTTGACACCCCTTGTCTAAGAAATCTAATATTTGAAGGATGAAATACACATTGTTTGTCACATTCAATGCCGAGGTTGCTTGGAGTACAATTCAGCTTGTATACATGCTGGATGAAACTGAGCTTTGGCCCTGTGCCAGATGGCAAACTTCGCACTTGGGGTCTTGCTGACTTACAATGGCTGTTGTATATATGCGCATGTCCATGAAGTCCACAGGACTGCAAGGCAGGGGTCTTCAACCCTCCTCATAGAGAGCTAGCTTGCTGCAGACGTCAGTTCCAGCCCTGCTCCAACACACCTGCCTGTAATTTACAGCTAACTCTGAAAACTGTGATTAGCTTGTTAATGTGTGTTTGATTGGGCTTGGAGCTGAACTCTGCAGTATGGTAGCTCTCCAGGAGCATGGTTGTCCCATTGCTCATTTTAAGTTTCAGAAGTAGGGTTTCCCCCTATGTGGCTGTTATGCACCTTTGACCCAACAGTCAAAACCACACTACATCACAAAAGTGTGGAGTCGTACAGTACTGTACTTGACTGTACTAAAGCATAAAATCACTGCAATATGTTTGCAGATATTTAGGAACCATGCTAAGTTCACATATTTGTTTCTCTGAAAAACAACGCTACAGTCAGTTATTCAGCTTTGAAATGTGCATTTTGTGTCAGAATGTCTGT